ATCAGTCGTTAGTGATATAGTACTTGGCATGAGGAAAGATAATCCCAGGGATGAGCCAGTTAGTTGAAGTCAAGTATAGTTCTATCTGTTATTGGTTGTTTTCTTTATTATAGGATATTTCACATGTACTGTGCTCACTTCTCGATATGTATCATAATGATGGAGTGGATATCGAGAAACGAGATAGTCAAGGCCGTACAGCTCTTCATTACGCTGTTAAGAATGATTGCTCGGCAAATGTGAAACTTTTGCTTTTGCACAGAGCTAAATATGATGTATGATTATTTTTCTTTGTCTGTATTACATCTGAATTCATGTCATTGACAACAGGCAGTGGATGTATACCAAGCGACTCCACTTCATTATGCATGTCGTTTCAATGAAAAACAGACTATCGTTGAGTTATTATTGCGTCAAGCTGCTAGAGAAAATAAAGATACTAATGTTCAACAGCATGATGATTCGATTCCAATTTGTCCCGAAGTGCAAGACTATGTTAGTCAACGCACCGCAAGTGGACAGGATGCATACACAGTAGCTACTAGTGAACATCATTCTACTATTGCCAAATTGCTTGAAAACTACCTTGCACAAAAACCTCTGAAGTTACCTAGCAGTGCATTATATGAGAATTTCGAAAACCTAGAAAATATTCGACAAGCTATGTATACTTGGGACAATACTAAATTAGATAGATTACTTAGAGAGCGATCACACTTACAGGAGACTCGAACCAAGCAAGAGGCACACCAAGAAACGCCTCTCCACATGGCTTGTACCTACGATAGACATGATCTTATAGACGCTTTCTTGCCTAAATCTAATGAATTATCTTACATGGATCAGACGCACTCACTGATCATGTACAATCCGCTCCAAGGTTTCCCACCTCTACTTACTGCCGTTCAAACTGGTCATGAATTATGTTTCCGAAAAATTTTCAATTATCTCAGCAAGAAGCAAGCCTATATATTGTATGGCTCAATTGCACGACCAAACAAATCAGACTCTAATTCAACGAATAGGTATAATATCTTTAGATTGAACAAATCATGTGTAACTTATATTCCAAAAGATGTACGAACATATTTCATCTATGTGTACGTCTTGACCGCACTACAATGTTAGAGCACGTTTTGAAAAAAAGCGCAAGCAGCACACTTTTAGTTGATGAATTAATTCCTCCTCTGTTGAACGCTGAAGATGTCCATGGTTATACTCCAATGTGTATTGGAGCTCGTCTTGGCCGCAAATATGCATGTGATATACTGTTTGATTTGGCAGTTTTAATCACAAATCAGTCAAATCAGTCGGATGATTTTTTGTCTAATAATGAACCGGATGCTTACGCTGATAAAGGTAAGATCCTTTTTTTTTGTTCTTGGATGCATCTTTATTCACGATTAATAGACGATAGTAATGAACAATTGAAAAAGGTAACCACGTTGCTACAAAGCGTCGCTTTATTTTTTATGTTACTTGTTTTAAAATGAATTTTCATATTATAGCTGATGATGAGTGCCGTCTTACAATCAAAAAAGCACACACGTAAGTTATGTGAAGCTCAGATTCGACTGTTTTCATGGCAGATTCGTCTAAGCTCATGTTTCAATACTGGTTTCATATGTTTCAAGCAAAATTCGACAAGCTCTGTCAGATGTTGAAAACTACTAATCGGTACCTTCGATAATAACTGAGAGAAACAAAAAAATAGAAAGCCAATCATCTATGACGTACTCTCAAAAAAAAATAAGGTACCATACGAAACCAAAAATGGTTTCGTGTGCGATACGAAACTTAAAAAAGTGCCGAACAAGGTACAGAACTTAAAAAGAGTTTCGCACATGGTACGGAACTTTAAAAAGGTTTCGAATTTTGCAACGAAAATGAAACCTTTTTTAGGGTTTCGTATGAAACCTTTGAAATCTTAAAAAAACACTCTTAAAGTTCGAACGATCATTTTGGACTTATCTTGGATTTTTACGAAGCCTCAAAAAAGGTTTCGCTTTCGTTGCAAAAATGGTTTCGTGTGACACCTTATTTTTTTACAGAGTACTGCGATGATAATCCTGACTAAACGTGTAATAAAGACTTCTCGACAACAGAATATTCAATCGAGATGAAATTACAGTATCTGGTATAGCTCGTTGAATTTTACTTATAACACGAATAGTTTTGTTAGAATATAGTCATATATGATTTTGCTCTTAAAACGGTCGAATCTAAGGCTTATATAATCTCCGTAGGATACAGTAAGGTTTACGCTGATCTTGTTGCACTTAATCATGATGGAAGGAATCGATTTCCTATACATGAAGCAGTTGTTGCCGGTCAAACCGATATCGTCCAACTATTCTTCAATCGCATCATTCGATACGATCAAAAACAACGATTACTCTCTTTGAAAAATAAACAAGGACAAACAGCACTTCATCTAGCTGCAATTTATGGTCTTAACGTTTTCACAGTTATTTTTGTTTTAAACTTTATCTAATTTATCTTAGGTCGTCTAGATATAGTCTCTATCTTGCTTACCAACGAAGCCAACATGGATGCCCGAGATTCCTGTGAAAATATACCTCTACACTATGCTGCCGCTTCTAAACACCCTTTACAAGAACAATCAGTTCAAATTTTTGAACAATTTCTAAAATGTATGACTCAATTACCGTTGAATACATCTGTATGACTGGATTTTTTTAGTTTGTCATACGTCTGAAAGTGGTGATGACGATGACAACAACAACGAGACGAGTATGTTGCCTTATAAGATGATGAATTCTCTCTTGGCTCGTGATCGACAAGGTTATAATTGTTTGGAAGTAGCTATTCAAGCTAACAATATTCCATTTGTCAAACGTCTCTTTGAATGCAAAACTAATCAATGGAAAAAATTGATGCGTAATGCTCAATTAAGTCAAAACGATAAATATGTTGATACTCCTATGCGAAAATTAGTCCGCTGTATGCCCGAAATAGCATATCAAGCACTCGACAAATGTAAAATGGAAACTAATTTTCCAAATGAATATGATCAATCATTATGTGAAAAACAGTTCGATTTTGAATTTCTCGAAGATCATTGTCATATTAAAAAATGGCAATCCGGTAAATCACGTAATTTTCAGAAAAAGCAAAAGAAGATCAGTAAGAGAAATTGTTTTAATTGTTCGGGTGAGTTACATTTTGTTTGTGACGAGTTACCCAGAGGATCGGATGATGACTTCGGAGAACCATACTCTGATGATGCATATGTTCTTGTCAAAAATCATGTTCTTTCAATAATTGCTGAGCAGGCTAGAGATAGTGATAAAACAGATGATACTATTGTGAAACTTCAAACAAAATTACTTCGACATCCAACATGTCAAAAGTTAATGAATCAAAAATGGCATCACTTTGGAGTTCCAATCTTTGCAACCTGTTTTATCGCCTATGTACTATATTTAGCTCTCTTTACTTGGACTGTTCTTCGTCACACTGATCCATATCAATTCTACAATGCCACTGGTGTTCCTTTTTCAAATGATAGAGAATGTGAAAAAGTGGCACATTTAATCCGAAATGGAACATACAATATGACACAAAAGCCTAGTTGGGGTTTGAAGACATCTACGGATCGAGCTCTAAAATATACTATTTATGTGCTTCTCTGGTTACATGTAATTAAAGGACTGCTTTTTATTCGTATCTATCAATTTCGACTAGTTTTTCGATTTTATGCTGAAACGATTTCTCTAGTTCTTGGTTTTATATTTTTATATGATACCAGACCATGGCAAGAAGATGTCACACTCCGTTGTTTCGTTCAATGGCAAGTAGGTGCGTTTGGTCTCTTTCTGTCATGGTCCACTCTACTTGTTTACATTCGATCTTTTCCATTGATTGGTCTTACGGTAGTTATGCTCGAGGTTGTTATTCGTCGATTCATCTGGGTGACTCCTGTTCTTCTCGTTCTTATTTGCTCTTTTTGCTTCTCTTTCTTTATGCTCCTACAAGAGCAAGTTCCCTTCAGTAATGTCGGTTTTGCTTGGATGCGTACAGGTTAGAAAAATAAATTGAATTGATATATAGTAATTATCTTGATATTCTTCTGTTTAGCTTTCATGATGCTTGACACTAGTTACGAGACTCGATTCTTTGGTCCCAATGGAGATTCTCTAATTATTTTGTATCCTGTTCTTTTTTTCATGTTTATTCTTTACGGTGTCACTATTGCTATACTGTTTAACAATCTTTTGATCGGTAAGAATTAGTTCTAATATTCTTGACTAAGGACCTCTCCGCTATAGGTTTGGCAGTTGGAGAGATTCCCCGACTATCCGATATTGCAAAACTGGAGAATACCATACTTCATTATGAACTGTTGCAGGAATGTCAACTTTTTCGTCTCGTATATTTCTACAAACATAATCCAGCACTTTATTTACACGGGAAAACTGTCGAACAACAGGGTATATGGAAGAAATGGACCACTCGATTTCAAAATTATTTCAATGCTTGACTTCAAATGTTACCTTAAACAAGAATAAATTGAATTAATAGAAAAATACGCACGAAGACCATCATTCACTTATCAAATGTTCATTTATTAGAATAAAAATTGGTTATCTTCTTCTATAGGAAGAAATACATGCTTAGTCAGGCATTTTTGTCAGTAGAGATTTCATACTTCACTATTTTTCGAGTCATTAGTAAAATTCGAAGTAAGTCTCAAATTTGTCTTATGTTTTATAATGTGTTCACCTTCAATGAAAAGAATGCATTTGACGAAATTCACAAATACGCATGACTTGATGACACTGTGATCGATGGAGAAGAGCAAGGAGGTTGCACAAGAAAAATCACTCATTTCACTTAAGCGTGTTCTAATTTATTCTGACTAATTCACAATGAAAGTGGTAAAAATTATTGGTGACATCACATAAGACACAAACTGTAGTGATTGGAAAGCAAAAATAAAAAAGAAAGTCGAAAGAACGGCAATTAAAGACAAGAATAAACTCCACTAGATCAAGAAAAATAAAGAAAGTCTAAATGCAGAAACCGATAAGATTGAAAATTGAACACACATACGAAGAAAAAGAAACGTTTTTGATATTCTTCTAGTAAAATATATTTGCCAGCAAATGAAATTTCAATAAATAGTCGAAACATGTGTGTTGATTCATTGACTGACGTGAACATCAAGCATAGCCTATAAGATTTTATTGATAGTTACAACTTGGAGTATGGATATGATATGAATCTTCTCTTCAGTCATATTCACATATCGGCAACTACACCTAAAGTAAAGTTTTCATTTCTCGACAGAACTTCTAGTTGCCACTTAAACACTGATAAAGAAAGAAAAACGGCATTGCACTGAAATTAAGCGAATAACCAGTGAAAGATCTCTTATCTTATATCTGATCCGCCATTCATGATGAGAATTCTATGAAAATACCTCGATAATAACGATAAATAGCGCCACCTATATACATTGAGCCCCTTTTTGATCCCAAACCTTATGTTCAATTTAAAAGAAAATAATATTTTTGGATTTAATATCGTTCAAATCATGTGGAGTCCTTGCTAAAACCCTAGCTGGTACATACACGTGCACTTTTCTCTATTGTTTCGTTATTTCGTTATACACCATATGCTGCAACCACGTATTATTTAATGTTTTGTCAATGAAAGAATCTTATGAACACTCTTTTCTTGTTATACATATAAGAACATCTAAAAATAATGTTATTTTTTGTTGTGATGTTTATAGAAATAAAGTCAGATAAAGTCATTCTAGGTTTGCCAACAATGATTTATGCTATTCAATTGGTTAGTTCCAATCAAATAGAATTGATATACTTTGTTAAACATAACCCATAAGCAAAAACTAAATTTGACAAAAAACCCATTTTATGATAGTAGTGGATATTACACGCACTTGAAACGAATGGCATTAAAATATGAATTTTTCCTCGTTGCTTCTATAATTTCTTCTATAAATAATGGATTTATTGGAGAGCGTTTCAACTCGTCACGTGACGAGTTGAACAAATTGCAAAAATCACACCTTTCGTAACACCAAAAATAGGCATATTCAAAAATGCAGGGATGTCGTAACAAATTTTACAGGGCGATCGTAACGATTAATACAGGGAGTTCGTAACGGTTGCAGAGCTTTCGCAACGAAACAACAGGGTTTTCGTAACGAAAAATATGTTAGTCGTACGTCATTTACGAATAGAAATTACATGGGTTTCGTAACGAATTGTACAGGGCTTTCGTAACGGCTAAAATAGACATTCTCAAGCTATATTTCAAAGGAGATGTAGGTTGTCAAATCATGGCTGTTGTAACGAATTTTACAGGGAAGGCATAACTGTTCATACAGGGTTGTCGTACCGGAAAAGGAGAGTGTATGTGAGTTAGATGTACAGGAGTATCGTAATGAAATATCAGAGCTGTCGGGTGTGGGTGGGGGTGTTTGTGGTTAGAGGAGTCCTGAATAACATTGTCACCCAAACTGTCACTCACACCAACACCCAGTCCCAGACCCAGATCCGCACCCACACCCACCCTTGCAATAACGGTTACGATAGCCCTGTACTTTTCTTTACGACAGCCCTGTATTGTCACTCGTACTTTAAGCTAAGTGCATTACGAAAGCCCTGAATGAGGAGTTACGATAACCCTGAAAAATTCTTTACGAAAGGTCTGTAATTGATGGCATTATTTTCTAAAATAGCACATATCAAACCACTAGTTACGATCACCCTGTAAAATTCATTACGAAACCCATGAAATTTTGCTACGAAAGGTCTGATTCTGTCGTTACGAAAGCTCTGTTACGGGCTTTCGTACTGTCAATTCGTTACGAAAGCCAGAAAACAAAAATCGTGACGAGTTGAAATGCTCCCAACGTAAATAGGACAACTTTCTTTCAGTTTAAAAAAATGCGTAAATATTAATCAATAATATCAACACGTTTCATTTGCCAACCCATTTTGCTTAAGACTAATGGTTCAATAAAATAAAGATCATTATTTGTCTTCTAGACTCAATCGCCAAAGTGTCATTCATTCAGTCATCAACTATATCAGTTGTAAATTACCACCATATTTCACAATCATTATAGTGACTAGACTTCAACAGTGGTCACTATTTACTTGAATAAGTTTTATTAAAATCTCAAGAATCGGAACCATCAAATGAAAAGTTGTTCTATATTCTAAAAATTGCAAGTGTGGATCTGAATGAGTTTGGGTTTATGTGAAGCAAAGATTCATACTCACCCTTCATATAATTTGATCGAAAAATATCCAATGTCATTCTAGTCTCAAAAATATATGCAAGGCATACTTGAACAATTTATGCCAATACATTCGACATCAGCCTCAAATGAAAGACTTTGTAGCATATTTGAATATACTTTAGATATTCAGCAAACAAATTGGTTATCATCGTGCTTATGTCAAATCCATCTGTCATCTAACTATCTTTTGGTTGTTTTTTATTGTATTTTCAGCTTTATACGATGAGTACATGTTATATTGATGACATTTTAGATAAAATCCTATTCGTTTGGTCAGTTTACTTATGTAAGTGGGAAAAACGTAACGAATAATATGCTCATTATCATTTTTTTTCTTGGAAGATGATATACTGTTCTTTCTCTGTGGACATGAAAAGATAACTTTCATAGTATTTCTTTCTTTGTTATGCTCCCCATTAATTCCATATGTAATGATATAATGTTCTCGCGTTCAATTTTTTCTACTTGTATAAGTGGTTTTCTAAAATGAAATATATAGTTTTTTCAGCGATGAGTCACAAGAGATGTAAACTACTATAATAAAAATTTATGTCAAGATTGTTCTGTCATATCAAATTATAATTTGACGCTAATTCCAACTTCATTACAACGATCATAGCATGTTCGCGTCTTTCTTAAAAATTTCCAATTAATAATGTTGACTGTAGCCTCTATTTTGTGATAACCGCCATCTTCTTTAACCCTATAACGTTATGGGCCTTGATCAACGCATTCTTCCCTGGTTTTCAAAAAAAGACACTAAATATATCTCTGGCATCAAAATTATTTTATACTTTAATGCTAGAGAGATCACTTTCTACAGAAATATGTCGTTGAAAAACCTTCAAACATATATTATTAAAAACAACTTCTTCATGTAAGCTATGATGCTTGATTTATTGCTTTTGCTTTCTTTGTTTCAGATTGAAAGTAAATATTTCATAATGAACTTCATCCGAAATCTTGGAAAAAAACTACTTCATTTTGATATTCATCGGTTAAATCTATTTATCAGTAAATTTAGTGAATTTCTGTAGTACAAATTTAATATTTAAAACGATTCTAGACCTAGATTTACACAAACTTAAGTGTCAAATACATTAACACGAAAAACAATATCATACCAGTCTGCATACGTCTAGTGAAATCGAAAATTTTATTTGTTGAGAAACATTATAATGCAATAAATTTGAAGAAAAATATTGGCAAAATAGTTTTCCGTTATTGCTTTTCTGTATGGCTTTTACCTAATTTCTTAGACGCAGTGCATGTCTTTGCTGAACACATGGACCAGTGTTCTAGATAGATTTAAAATCTATTCAATATTAAAACACATTTGTACGTATATAATAAATGAATCATAAGAGATTTTGTGATGTGTTGATCTTTTATTATTCTATTTTTTGTTTCTTTTATTATTCATTCAAAATTAAACTTTTCAATAAATACATGACTAAATTTTACTGCGGATGTTTCTACATATTCATCTTCTGTATCAGTTGAGTCAATCGTTGTCATATGACTAATCCTCTTATCAGAGATTGAACACTGTTGTTGTACTTTGCTTGAATTTGTACTAATCCAAGGATTACAACACGGACTAGGCGAATTGCGTGGTGTATTCGGTATTGTTCGATCACTACTTTGTTCATCTTCATAATTCCACAATGGTTGACCATATGTTAATTGGACTTTGTTAAATTTTTCATAATCAAAACCTTCAAGTGTTGAATCACAAGATGAAAATTC